CATGTCCAAGAAACATTAGATTTATCATTATACCAATGATATGCTATTTTATACATATACAATTTGTTTTTAAGATTGTAACATGATGTAAATTTGAACCACTCTGACCACTTATTTTCCCATTGGTAATATAAATTTGTTTTTCTATTTAATCTCCAGTTGTGTTGCAATATATTATACAAAATGAATGTTGAAGGAACTTGACTTTTACTAAATTTCAAGAAATCATGCTGCTTAGTAGTCATGACCTGTAAGATCAGCTGACAACTTGTAATCACTGACTGAATGCCTAGAACTCAAAAAATAGTTTGAAATGGAAATGATTTAATGCTCATCTAAATGTTGAGTGGAAGATTACCAGCTTATATATAGGCATTTTCCAGAAACCTCACAGTATTTCAGAAGAAAATTCTACTTTGATATGGCAAAAAAAAAAAAGTTTCTTTGAAACCAAGGAAAATGTATGTCCTATACTGTCAGAAATCATAAAATGTTCAGTATTCTTCATAAAAACAGTTACTATTTTATTAGTGTTTTACAGCACAAGCACTTTTTTCATATAATTGCAGAGTGGTCAGACTCCGTTAATGATAGCTGCTGAACAAGGCAATTTAGAGATTGTCCAAGAATTAATAAAGAAAGGTGCCAACTGCAACTTGGAAGATTCAGTAAGTACTGACAGAAGAATCCAATGTTTTGCTGTTTTAGTCTCATTTGTCTACACTGATCAGCACATATTGCTGCTGATCTTTTCTATCAACTTATATGCAGTGACCTAAGTCAATTAACATAGAAGCAACATATTATAAACATTAGAGTTGCAAGACATAAGCCAACATTACATGTTTTTATTGTTATTTATGCATCTTGTTCAAGAATTTATAATATTAAGAAATACATGTTTGCAAATTTTCATTATACAGTAGAGTCCCGCTTATCCAACCTTTGCTCATCCAACATTCATTATTATCCAACTCAGTCTGCCTCCCGTCCGGAACCACAGCTGTTTCAATACATTCCAATGTTTTGGTGCTAAATTCATAAATACAGTAATTACTACATAACGTTACCATGTATTGAACTGCTTTTTCTGTCAATTTGTTGTAAAGCTTGGTGTTTTGGCTCTTAATTTGTAAAATCATAACATAATTTGAGGTTTAATAGGCTTTTGCTTAATCCCTTCTTATTATCCAACATTTCCGCTTATCCAACGTTCTGCCAGCCTGTTTATGTTGGATAAGCGAGACTTTACTGTATTAATATTAAATATTTTAATAATATATGTAAATATTGAACCAAAACATGGAGAAAAATATATCAACCAATACAATTAGAGACATTTTAATCAGTTACCACCTTACAAAATTAAAGCCTTTTGATAATATTTTTATTACACAGACATTGCTACAATTATCAGGCTATTTACTGCCAGTAGAAATCTTGTGATTCTCTATCCCAAAACAATAAGTTCTAGCATGTTCATTACAACCAAACCCTGCAGTGTCCAGTATCACCTTAACATCCTGCTAATTTCACTGCCAGCAATACAGCCACCATCTCACAATTGAATTCCATGCCCACGGAAATTAAGATTGTCATCTCCAGCTTGTCCAGTTACTGATTCTCCAGTACAATCTCTCATTCTTGCAAATTATTTTTTTAATCCCTGACTCAAAATTGGCATTTAAATTAGGATGTAATTTTTAAAATATATTTACTCACCATGATTACTAAACATAAATTGCAATCCAGTGACCTCTCTATTCATTTTTAGGAAATACAGTAATTGCAGATCTTGAAATGCTTTTATTTTGTCATAATTGCAATGCAAAAGAGCTCAGCCAACGTATTTCCATGAGCTGTACATTATATTTCAAAGCATGTGGAACGTAAGCTCTGTTTTGACTCTTTGTGACCAATAACCTGCACAGAGAGCCCTGAACACATTAAGTAGAGCTAAGATTATATTGTACATGCTTCTTGCCCTGCTAATGTATTGCCCTGCAGCATGAAATAGGGATGTGCCATTTTAAATATTGATTTCCACAGGAGAGAGCAAATAATGTGGCCAGTTTTCTCCCCAACGGGAAACCATCTTTTAAAAAACTGCTGTTTTTGAACACTTGCAAAACTCTTTTTTGATATTTTTTTCTCAAGTCTTCAAATATTCTTTGCATCCTTAATGTGAAATCTGTGAATTGTTTTTTTAAAAAAATAGTTGTATTGCTTTGGGCAGTTGTTTCCTTTTAGTTCTCATTATTAGTTGATATGAAAACTGCTTTTAATTATCTGTTGGACTGTTTATTCTTTCTTAACATTCTTTCTCCATTTTAGGATAACTGGACAGCTCTTATCTCAGCAGCTAAAGAGGGACATTTTGCCATTGTGTCAGAACTACTTAACTGCAATGTGAACATGGAACATCGAGACATGGTATGATGTCTTTTGGGCTTTTAAATACTGCAGTTTGTTTCTTTTGAAGCAGGAGCACAGAAAATGAATTATGTTTTTGGTTCTTCACAACTGTGAACTCTCAACCTTAGAAGTTCTAACAAAAGTTGGGTCCTCTAGGGAAACTTTATGAAGTTTCCTTTTGTTTTGGAGATACTGGAATTTTCCCTTTGGGAATGTTTTTTTTAAAGAGCATTTTGTAGTGATGCTTATGCTTATGTGTTTTAAGATGACCACTTTAAGACCTTATACAAACTGTGCTGAAAAGCTGAAATGTTTTCCTAGTGTTTTTTTGATAGCCATAATAATAATAATAATAATAATAATAATAATAATTGTTTTTTAATGTCTGTAATTGACATTACTGATGTCAAAATAGTCTTTTGTGTAAAATGTTGGGGTTTGTTTATGGGAATCAGATTTAACTGTTCGTTCTCATGTAGAATTCCTGTATTTCTTCAATTCTAAGACACACTTTTTCTCTCTATATAAACATCTCTTAAATGGGGTACATTTTAGAAAGCAAGGTGTATCTTACATATTGTTGTTGGTGGTGATGGTACTGAAGTTAGGGTAAGACTTACAATTGATGGCATCCTACAATTGAAGAAATATGGTTCTTTCTGAAAAATGTGTCCTTAAGTATGTACATAATAAATTATTTACATATCATATGAAGATTTTTAAATAGTGTTAAATGATGGTCTCCCATGCTAGGGTGGATGGACAGCTCTTATGTGGGCCTGTTACAAAGGCCGCACTGAAGTAGCAGAAGTGCTTCTTGAAAGAGGAGCAAACCCAAACACCACTGGACTGGTAAGCTATTTCTTTCCTTTTCTTTTTGTAATGAGGATAATAGAAGAAGAATCTCGCACCTTTGAGTAATTGATATTGACTGACTTGTTTGGATAGCTGTTGCTGGAAGAGGAAATGCCTTTTTGACTTGTTACTTTGCAGAAGATGTTTCTGAGACACAGTCAAGCTGTAAAAATACTAATGATATTAAGGATATTGTTGTAGCCACATGTAAGTTAAACATAATGACTGCACCTGTATCTGTATGCATCAAATGCCCTAGGATTGGGGTGCTCGTCCCAGACACATTAAAAGATGCATCTACTTAGTTCTCTTGTACCTAATTCATAATCATAATGCAAGTAGGTGAATTGGCTACATATGCAGAAGCCTGCTTCACTGTATGTATTCTTCTTTTAGGTTTATATCATGATCATCTTCGTTAGTGTTTGTTAGTGTTCATACTGATTTGCTTCCACTGAAGAATAAGAATTATGTATTTTCCCCCAATATCATTGCTATACATTTAAAACAAATTCCATTATTCAGGCTTATATATTTATTACAGTATAAAAAATGGCCTTGTAAGTACATTCTGACTTTGTATGTCCCATCCTGCTTAAATAAGCCAAATGCCTCTAAAAGAAAGAGGGAGACCAAAAACCTTAACAGTGTGCCTCTTATGTGTTCTATATCTGTCTGTATTAATGCTTGAAAAAATAAACAAACAAATGTGTTGATGTGCTCTTTTAAAAAGATACATCTGAAATCTTATTTAAGCAATATAGTGTCTATCCGATAATTTGGGCAGCAGGAAGGGGCCACTCCCGCATTGTGCAACAACTTCTTCAGTATGGAGCAAAAGTCAACTGCTCTGACAAGGTAAGTTGAAAAGTATTTCTTTTAAGGTACAGACTTACGTTAACTTAAGAAGTTAAAATTATGAGACTTAGCAACCTGAGCTCTGACTCACTAAGTGGCAGTTAAGAGTGATTCAGTCTCATTGCTGTTAATTTATGAGAATGTTTTTTTAAAAGCTGATGCTAAAAATACTTTGGCTGAAATCCTGTTCTCACTTGCTTTGCAGTAAATGCATTGAGATTGACATATGTGCATAGTACTGTGCTGCGTATCTTTAGTCATTTTCACATTACAGAAATATTTATAGATTGTATTTTTTTGAGATCTGTAATGATAATAAATAATAATAAACTTTATTTATATCCCGCCACCATCTCCCCAAGGGGCTGGCTTACATGAGGCCAAGCCCGACAATACAGCAATACAATAAACAACGTACAATGACAGTAAAATATAAAAAAATTATATACAGAAACAATGTAATAGACATAAACAATGTAAAATCACAATAATTTAAACACCGAGGCTAAAACCCAGTGGGCGGGGCCGATAGCAAGGATTAAACATTTAAAAAAGTTTAAAAACAATGGGTGAGAAGGCAATGTATTGTATCTGGACAGGGGATCAGAGGGATGAAAATAGAGTTTAATTGCACTAGTAGGTAGAAAATGAAGTGATTCCGAGGACATTATTTTACAATGTTTGGTCAGGTCAGAGGTTATAGTTCATTTAATCATTCCTCGAAGGCACACTGGAACAGCCAAGTTTTAGTGAAGTTGGCTGTGTGTGATAAGTACAGGCCTGGTGTTTTCTAAGTTGTTCTGTAAAGGTTGCATTATGTTCCTGTTGTTTTCATAATAATTATTTCTTTAACTTAAAAAAATTAACACAAGAAAGCAAATTATTATCCTTGGATCATAGATTACTAAGCCCTGTTTTATGCTAGTATATAAATCATTGCTGGGGTGACAGTATTGATTCAAACAAATTATCAAGTAATTTTAAGGGCTGACAAGGTTGCATTATGTTCCTGTTGTTTTCATAATAATTATTTCTTTAACTTAAAAAGAATTAACACAAGAAAGCAAATTATTATCCTTGGGTCATAGATTGCTAAGCCCTGTTTTATGCTAGTATATAAATCATTGCTGGGGTGACAGTATTGATTCAAACAAATTATCAAGTAATTTTAAGGGCTGACAAGTGTTGAATCATAGGCATATTACATTCTCTTCTATGATCTTATTGATGTGAGGTTGTTGAATTATCTGTGATTTTTATCCCCTCAGTTTTTGTATATTTGGCAGTTTTATCCTACGCATAAGTTGTACTACTCCTACATTGCACCACTGTGGAAATTGGTGTCAGCTTTGTAAGAATTAATATTTATTTTGTGAACGGTTCTTGCATTATACTGAAGTATTACTTCAGGTTTCCCTATACAAATTTTATTCCCATTAGTAAGAACTACTACTTCTCTTCCACCATAAATGTGTGTACGTTGTTGGTATGTAAATTTTTCATCATCTGTTACCACAGCAGATACTCAGTTTTTGAAACGATGCCAGAAAGTGCAATGTATAAAATGTACATTTTTTTCTCCAGTATGGCACTACTCCATTGATCTGGGCAGCAAGAAAAGGTCACCTGGAATGTGTGAAGTTTCTGCTGCATATGGGAGCAGATGTTGATCAAGAAGGAGCAGTGAGTATTTTCAAAATTATGATAAAGTAATTTCTATTTTTAAAAAATATCAAACAATAGAATTTGAAAGGTGAGCATGGTAAAACTAAATCCTTTCCTTCAGGTGTCACCTATTTTAGCAACCATTTCTCCTCAAAGGCAAATTTCTTTTGGCTTTTCCTTTCCCTGAACAGTTTCCATCCCAACAAGAAATGTTGCCTGAGTTTGCTTTAATATTATACCTTTTAGTGCCTTAAAGCTGAGAGTTGGATTACTCTTTTTATTGTTATTAGTAACTCTGGAGCATATTTGCCTTAAGAGCAGACTAAATATGCTTTCAACCAGCTTTCTAGATATAATCAAATCATATTAGGAGATATTTGGTTATTTAATTCTAAGATCCTAGTGCTTTCATATCCTCTGGTATTTTACTGCTGAAATTCTCAGTCTTTCAGTTTAAAAGGGAAATGTCTGAAAAACTGCACATGGCTGCTTGTAGTGTATTATTGAGCAGAGAATAGCATGATTGAAATAATGCCACATTTATTAACAGGTAATACTGCTCTGCTGTTTTCTGCTAGGCCTCAGTAAACTTCTAAGCTGCAGTAGAAGGGAGGGGAACTTTAGATTATACAGATAGTGCTCAGCCCCCATCATGGTCAGTGATCCAAATATAGGGATCTGTAGTCCAGCAATATTTGGAAGTTATGTGTTCCTGCTTCTTCTGCTGAAGAGGACAGAAAAACATCCTGAATATCTCCTAAACTGGTGTAGATCAGTCTGTGTGCAGAAGATCCTAGCTGCTGCCATAGTCACATCTACATTCTTGTCATTATTGAGACCAACAAATAATTGTGGTTCTTGCATGTTGCAGTTACAGCTGGGACAGTAGAGAGCCAGTTAGTTGGACTGCTCGAAAATGCTTGAAAATGTTGATCTGGCTCATGTTGTGGAATTGCTGAAACCTGCCGTCTTCTAAAAATAGGAGATTGCTTTTGATTAAAAAGTGATATGAAATGTGATGAATATTTTTGAAATAGAAGTAGCTTGCTAATAAATCCCTGTCATTCTTTTTTCTTGACCCCAGAATTCTATGACTGCTCTTATTGTGGCAGTAAAAGGTGGATTTACAGATTCAGTGAAAGAAATTCTGAAAAGAAACCCAAATGTGAACTTAACAGATAAAGATGGAAACACAGCTTTGATGATTGCTGCAAAGGAGGGTCACACAGAAATAGTACAGGACCTTCTAGATGCAGGAACATACGTGAATATCCCTGATAGGGTAAGCACATGTTAATGTACTCACATTTTTTCCTTTATGTCTAATGTAAACTACAAATAATATCTCACCATGTGTCTTCTCTCCTCATTGCAGAGTGGAGATACTGTCCTGATTGGAGCTGTCAGAGGTGGGCATGTTGAAATTGTGAGAGCTCTGCTTCATAAGTATGCAGATATTGACATTAGAGGTCAGGTAAGTAATGTTATGTTTAGTTCTATATTTCGGAATGCATCTGGTTCAACCTTCTGCTTAATGCATAGTCTCTAACTAAAGCATCCCCAGCCTCTTTATGAAGGCATCTTCGTGAAGAGAGCTTCCATCTCTTTGCTTGATAATTGGTTCCATTCCTAAACTGCTCTTACTGTCAAGAAGTCCCTTTTAAGGTTTAATCAAAACCTACTTTCCAGTGCCTTCAAACCATTAGACCTGGTCTCACCCTCTGGAGCAGCAGAGAACAAGCTTGTCCTCTCATCTCAGTGTTGAAAGCTTTAATCTATCTTAATGCACTAAATGATTTTTTTTGTTTTTTTTTACATTGCAACTGGTAAAATAACTTAAATAGAAAAAATATCTTAGGTGGTTTTAAAAGTTGATTTGACATTGAAGTGCTAATCAGAATTGTGTATTTTTTCATAGGATAATAAAACTGCTTTATATTGGGCTGTTGAGAAGGGAAATGCTACAATGGTGAGAGATATCTTGCAGTGCAATCCAGACACTGAAATATGTACAAAGGTAAATATATTGTTCTTGATTTTGTCTCCTAAAAATACCAATATGCATGTTTTTTTTCACATGTTCCTATACTGCTAAATAAAGCAATATGACTATGTGTTTGTGATGGTGGAAGAAACCATGGATCAGGACAAAATTAGTTTTAAATTGTTTTTCAGTACTAATGATGACCTTAGAAAAGTGTGGTCAGGGGACCATTGATGTGCATATTAGAATAACTTACCAACTGGTTCCTGTCACTTTTTGTAAAATATTATCTTGCCTTCTTAGCTTTATTTTTTACCAAATTCAAAATACAGAAATATGAAATTTAGAAAATACTTAACACACAAATTAACACAACACACCAGTTGTTGCCAAACATCCATATCTGGAAAACCTAAGTAATATTTATAAAAATAATTCTAAAATATTAATTCATCATGTTTCGTTGGAAAGCATTTAAAACAGAAAGCATGTATTCATGCTTCTCTGTCAAAAACAAAGATATTTCCTTCATAGAAAGATCCCATATAGCAGGGCTTCTTAAACTTTTTCCACTCACAGCCCCTGATGGCCCAGGAAATTTTTATGTGACCCTTGGTATATAACATGAGTATAAGAAGTAAACATTTACTGATAATAAATCAGCATTTGGAAGACTTGCTGTACAGGCTGATTTTTGTTTTTATGTAGTACAGCTGAAGCATTTTCTGCAGAGTACACTGTAAACACTGCATTTTTCTGCCAACAGATTCAGGTAAATGTCTAAAACAGCCAGCAGGTGACATTCAATAGCCTTTTACTGTTGGCAGATTTTTCAGGATCCCAACACTGAGCTAAGGGGACTTCATTTGGGGTTGGGACCTACATTTTAAGAAGCAATGCCATATACAAACAGAGTGTTTATGTTAAATAATTCTAGACATTAAATCATTAAAATAGCTAAGGCAAACTAAGAGAATCAGTCGCAACTGAAAACATAATAGAGGTTTATACAAAAAGAAGCCCCATTTTGGTTACTGAGACATTTCATAATAACTTTGAGTAGGATAGTTGCTTAAAAGGAGTATCTTAGATTTGTTATGTGGTACTGAGTATCTGCATTAGAGGCAGCCTCATAGACTAGCAAATCTGATCAAAATGGAATAGACGCTTCAAATTCATTACATTCATTATTCACATCAAGATTTAAAGTTGAATTATATATTTTTGTCATGAAATATATGAAGGCAAAATATAGGAAGGCAAAATATTGCTGAAAGTCTATCTAATCCTGAAGCACTCACTTAGTATTTTTCTGCTTTTGCTTTTAGGATGGAGAAACACCTCTTATAAAGGCTACCAAGATGAGGAACATTGAAATAGTTGAGCTTCTGCTTGACAAAGGCGCAAAAGTTTCTGCTGTAGATAAGGTACACTCTTGTTGACAACTGCTTTATTTAAAGATAGTTTAAAATCAGCTCAGGTGCAGAGAGAAATTTCACCATGTGTATTGAGATGGACGGACCTTTTGGAAAGAAACTTAACAAAATAACTTTGTTCTTTCAGAAACTAAATTAGCCAACTGTTGAAGCATGCTAATTGTAGAAATTATCCCAATGAAAGTTCTGGTCATAAAGTTTATAGGGCCAAATTGAAAGGAATGTGATGTATTAAATTTTGAGTAATGAAACTGTTTTGTAATAAAACACTTTGATTTACATCTTTTAACGTTATGGTGATTGTTACAGAAAGGGGATACTCCACTTCATATTGCTATTCGTGGAAGAAGCCGAAGGCTTGCAGAGCTGCTTTTAAGAAATCCTAAAGATGGCAGGCTGCTTTACAGGCCTAATAAAGCTGGAGAGACACCTTACAACATTGACTGTAGCCACCAGAAAAGTATTTTAACACAGATATTTGGTGCTAGTAAGTATTAAGCAATTTCAAAAAATATATCTAACTTCAGTTACTTTCAGGAACATGTTGGATTGAACAAGAAAAAATATAACTTATGTGAAGTTTGAGTACTCATGTGCTTCTGTGCACAGTTCAGATTTGAAAGACAGAACAGTAGTTCTCTGGTTGGTGCAGAAGAGCACTCCATGTCAAATGATTTACATCAGAAGGCAGGAGTCATTAGCTTTCTTTCTGTAAGCCCTTGTCTCTTGGTTTTTATTTTCCCGCCCTGCTTTTAAAGTCAGATGTTCTTTGTCTCCCTCTCCAGTACTTCCCTTTCATGCTAAAAATCTATTCATTTTGCTTTGCTTTCTCTCCTGTATTTTTCATTTCATTTGTACTCCCTTTCTTTGCCTTTTCTCATCAACTCCAGCTTGCTGTACAGTCTGGAACTGTGGTTAAGATTTTAACTTTCACTAGTTTCCAACAAGCGGGCTTTGAAAAAACACAGTTTGACATTGATTTGTTTGAAACTAATGTCAACCACATTTTGTTTGGCTTGGAAAGCACAACGAAGTACAGCTGAATAAAAGCTGATTTTAAGCTTCTGAATTCTACTTATCCCATGGAAAGAGAAAGGCAACATGCAATTTTAGGTGGAATCTAAATTTGATTACATCTTCACAAACAAACAACTAAGGTCATAGGAATAAGTTTACCTTTTTATCTTACTTTTTTCATTTAAACTGCTAGTGAGCTGTAACTTTCTTATACGATCTTTCTTTAACTATCTTCTTTGTGATACTGTAATTTATGGGTCACATTTGTCAGTAGAACTGCTTATGCAAGTATGAAGTAATAAACATAGATTAATTCCAGGAGTTCTCCAAGTGCTGTGTTTTACTGAAATGATCATTTTCAAATAATCTCATTAAAGAGCCTGGCAAAAGAGTATAAGCTGTCTCCAAGTTAAGAACAAGATAGGTTCTGTAGGTTTATTCTTAACTTGCATTTGTTTGAAAGTCAGAATAGGTAATTTTTTTCTTTGTAACTGCAGCCAAAAATATTTTTTAAGCTTTGGATTGCAAAGGGAAAGGTTAACACCCTTATGGTTTTTATTTTGTTATCTATGCCCCTGTTCAGAAGATTTCACTGCACTTTCTGTCCCTGTGAAAATTGGAGTTTGAAAAATTTGTCTTGTGGAATCAAGGATTGGTGATAATTCTTCAGTGGGATACACCTTTTCACCATAATAACTGTTTCAGGAGTGAATTTCCTTTCTAAGGGTAGATTTCTCTCACTTCCTCTTGTCTCAGCCCCGTTCTTAGCTATGAGTCAATTGTAAGTCAGATATTTGTAACTCTGGGACTGCCTGTACCTGGATTGTAGGCTAAGGAATAATTTTTGAATAACAGATTATACATAACATGTATAGGTTATTTAAGTTCTTACTGTTGGTTACTCTGTTTGTTATTAAGTTTAGAGTTAGGTTGCTCTTATATTGTTTAATATGGTTTGTCCTGATGTAATCTGTCTGAATGTTTTTTCTCTCTTTTGGCATTGAATGTTTGCCATGTATGTTGGAACCCGCCCTGAGTCCCCTTGGGAAGGTAGGGTGGTCTACAAATAAAGATGATGATGATGATTATTATTATTACTAGGAGAAACAAAAATAATCCAGAAAAGGTGAATAAACCTTATGTGGAAAATAATATCTGAAAAAAAGCAGTGTAAAAACGATGCTGCACTTTTGCTCAGAAGTAGTACAGAAAAACAAACATACAATACAGTTGCCTATACATCATTGAACTTATATTTAGCAAGCTGGCCATGGGTTGCTGTTGATGAATGAACACAAAACATAGACTTGTAACATGTTTATTTTATGAAGCGTTCTGATGTTGCAGGACATTTATCTCCCACGGAAACTGATGGAGATATGCTGGGCTATGATCTCTACAGCAGCGCACTAGCAGATATTCTTAGTGAACCGACTATGCAGCCACCCATCTGTGTTGGACTTTATGCCCAATGGGGAAGTGGGAAATCATTTTTGCTCAAGAAACTTGAAGGTAAAATTTAGTTCAAATATTTATTGTCATCATTCCTTAGTTAATAAAGCACAATATAGTTAGGTTTTGGCATTACAGTTTGGTCTTTAATTCCAAGGGACGAAATAATGGGCTTTGAGATTTTGTGTTGATAGAATTTCTTTCTCTCTTTTTATAGATGAAATGAAGACTTTTGCTGGACAGCAGATTGAACCATTGTTCCAGTTCTCCTGGCTTATTGTGTTCCTTACATTTCTATTGTGTGGAGGTGTTGGCTTATTGCTTGCATTCACTGTAGATGCCAAACTTGGAATTGCAGTTTCACTGAGTTTACTGGCACTACTATACGTATTCTTTAGTAAGTCTTATTTTCAGTCAGACTGAGTGAAATTCTATGTATTTATAATTGAACTCAAAAGTTTGTATACAAAGTGAAACCAAATATGTGTGTGTGTGCCTTCAGATCACTTGTCGACTTATGATGCCATGAAATTTATAGGGTTTTCTTAGTAAACGAATACCAGTTCCTTCTTCTGAAATATAGCGTATAACACCTGGTATTCATTGGTGGTTTCCTGTCTAAATAATACATAGGACTGACCCTGCTTAGTTTCCAAGATCAGACATGATCTTGTGCCTGATCAGGAGCTAAACTCCACTCATGGGAGGTCTAACCAAATGTATTAAGAGAGTTAAAACATTTGTAACAATCAATTTTAGATATCCATTGATTTGAGGATCATATTTCTTTTGACTCAGTGTAAGTTCTGTCTTCTGTTAATTCTGAATAGAAGTGGTCTGTGACTCAGAGCTGGGTTTTATGCAAGTTCATATGGGATTTTGTGGGAGCTACCCTGAGTTTAAGGGACCTATTCAAGGTGTTGGGACTCTAGAGTAAAACTCCATTTTGAATCAATGGAATACTCTGATTCTGAATGCAGTTAACTGATGATTGATTACACAAGCCAACAAGCATTTTTCATCAGATATAATTTTAGGCCATTTTAATGCACTTTTTTTTTTGCACTGCATTCAGATCTGTATTTATTTTTTCTCTATCACGTGTAGTTTTTGCGATAAGCCTAATCAAATAATTAATTCATTTATGTACTGATATCAATAGAATCTAATTGATATCAATGCATTAATTTTTTATTAGCCTCATCGCAAAAACTACACATGATAGAGAAAAATTAAGCACAGATCTGAATTCAGCACAAAAAAACTCTATAAGAATGCCTAAAATTATACCTGATGAAAAACTTGTTGGCTTTTGTTACATGAATATGGTGTGAAATGTGCAGACTTTACAGTAGTCCACTGTAATGTACCATTCGTCATATTTTAAAAAGTTGACATGATGGACAAAAATAAAGACATATTTAAAATCAGCATAAAATTGTGCTACTCTCGTTTCTGATTATTACAAAAAGCTTGATTTTGTTGGCTTGTTTATTACTATCTGTTGGTTATATATGCAGTATAGGAATTAAGGCTTTGGCTTCTTTCATAGTGCTTCATTCAGAAAGATGATGTGGAGCTAAATGGGAATAGTAGTGGTACAAGTTAAGCAATCTTTTGGCTCTCCTTTTTAAATCTCTTATAGCTGCAACTAATGTTTAGATATTTGTAAAATCTTTCATTTTAGCTGTGATATACTTTGGTAGTCGAAGAGAAGGAGAGAACTGGAACTGGGCATGGGTGCTAAGTACAAGGTTAGCCAGACATATTGGCTACATGGAGTTGCTGCTGAAACTCATGTTTGTGAACCCACCTGAGCTGCCTGAACAAACTACAAAAGCCTTACCTGTCAGGTTAGAATGATTTAGTGCAATGTTCTTTTGTTTTAAACTGTGTTGAAGCATTTAAAAATGTTGGTGTTGCAAAACACTTATCTCTGATGAAATTTGATGCAGATGGGGCATTGTGATGTTCACACCAGAATGCTAGTTTGCTTTTTATATTTTCTATGCTGTTGCTCATCTGTGTGAGATTCAAGCAAGGAAAACAACTTTTCTGTTCAACTGTATCTCACAATTACTGCTCGGAGCTGAATTTGAAATTACCTGGGTAACTTCTGAATACAAAGCATCTCTTATAATCTTCTGTATCTCTCTCTCTTTGAGTTTGTTAATTTATCAAAAGTTACAAATTTATGAGTATCTCAAGATTTTATCCTGTAAATTATACAAAAAAAAAAACTTTGTGGCATCACAGAGGTAAATTGCTCTGTAATTATGTGCAGTAAAAGTTTTTTTTAATTCAGGTATGCTTTTAAAGATAAAGGTTTATAAGATCAAGTCAGGTTGTGCTGTGGTTTTTAGCTTTGAATATGTTTTTATGGATTGTAACTTATTTTAAAATACCATTGATATTTAATTCTGTTTTAAAGTTTGTATATTTGTAGATTTTAAATTGTATGGAAATGCTTTTAATGTAAACTGCTTTGAGTCTCTTTGTGGAGAGAAAAAGTGGGGTATAAATAAACATAATAAACACAGAAAACTGGGAAAACATATTGACTCGGGTGTAAACTGAAGGTGGGAAATGCAGCAACTACTAGCAAATTTCAAAATAAAAATAGATACCAATTAAATTACATTAATGGAGATATCAGTAGGTTAATTGTTTTTGAATATTTACATAAAACTGTAATTTAAGATAAATCTGCCCAACTCTGATTAAACCATTTTTCTAACCATTATCAATGTAAATGTGCTTATGCATCCTTTCAAATAATAAAAAATATGATCAAATAATCCTAAAGGAAATGTAATAATAGCAGTAATAATAGAGTAAAATAATAAATGTAATAATAAAATAGAGTAAATAATAAATGTAATAATAATAATAGAGTAAAATAATGTAAATATAATAATAATAAAAATAGAGTAAAATAAAAATGTCATAAAAACAATAAAATAGTAAATAACTTTGACTCAAGTATAAGCTGTGTGTGTGTGTGGAAGGGGGGGGGGGGCTTTTTCAGCCTAAAAAAGAGCTGTAAGCTTGGCTTATACTCGAGTATATACAGTATGTTGTGTTTGCTTTTCACCTAGACCTTTGATTATCTCTCAGCTGGAATAATCCGTACATTGGATTTCTGAATACTTATAGAATTGAGTGTTAAATACAAGAAGTAACAAAAACAAATAACTCTGAACAGAAAAATTCACAGCAGCTTTGCAGTTTGAAAACGTAGATTGCAGTTATAGCAAATCCAAATCCATGTTCCAAGTAATCATTAATTATCTAATGCTCTTAACTGTTTCTCTTCAGATTTTTGTTTACCGATTACAATAGACTGTCCAGCGTAGGTGGAGAAACTTCCATGGCTGAGATGATTGCCACTCTCTCAGATGCCTGTGAAAGAGAATTTGGTTTCTTAGCAACACGCCTTTTTCGAGTCTTCAAGACTGAAGATACTCAAGGTATTTGTGAACTAAGCTGCCCTCTCCCTTCCACTTGACAGTTAGTACACTGCTAAAAGTGGGGAAATGTAGCTGTTTCAGAAAAAACATTTTGTGAAATGTACATAAAAATGAAAATAAACAATGTTCATTCTGATTTTAGGTAAATTTAGAAAGCCATCGAATAGTGTCATTTCACTAGCAAAAACCTTTTACCGCTTGCAGAACCACTGTTTCAGCCTTCATTATGTATCAGATTGTATCCTGCTTGTGTATACTATATTACAGGTTGTTGCAGCTTCATTAGGCTATATATTACTTTATACCGGTTATGTCTGTTAAGAGAATGCTAACTCTTGTAATGCTTCTGGTAAAAATTGCCTTTTACCCATTCAGAGCTTTTGCAGTCAGAGGTTTACTTCCTTACATCCTATACCTGTGTACTTACAGAAGCTGCACCTAATTACTTTAGTTGCCTTTGAAAGAGTAGCTCTGCACTGAAGAGTCTTTTTAAAGGGTGGAGTCCTCAAGCTTTATGAACATCCAGATTTTAAGCAGAGTGCAATCACTCTACTTAATCAGTGATCATTCACTTTTTCTGTAGGTGCTTATAGTTATTGGTTTAGTTTACTTCCTTTTGTTATATTCCTGTGAACAGAAGTTAGCCAGTCTACAATTTTCTGTCCTGAAAGAGAAGCACTGTAGGCATTTCATCCATTCTAGATTTTATTCTGTATGTAGATTAAAGAAAAATTGGTATAGTTAGGATTTCTAAGATTTGCGCTGTAAATGTTTCCTGTAATAATTGTATGTTTTAGATATAACTTGACACAGTCTTTAGTTGTCCTAAAACATATGGTTGAACTTCCATCACAGTTTTATCTGAGGTGGTTCAATTTGGTAGTTCATAATGAAAATTTGATGTTGAACGTAGAAATGTAGTTACCCATTGCTTGTTTATTTCCCAGGAAAAAAGAAATGGAAGAAAACTTGTTGCCTGCCATCCTTCGTTATCTTCCTCTTCATTCTGAGCTGCATTGTGGCGGGGATTACACTAATAGCTTATTTTAAAGTGAACCCTGAAAACATGACCGTGAATGCTATTCTGATCTCATTTGTATGTGTTGTGGGCTTGGGCTTCATTTTGAATTGTCGCACATGGTGGCGCGTGATGGACTCCGTCTTGAATTCACAAAGAAAACGGCTCCACAGTGCGGCTTCCAAACTACACAAACTGAAGAGCGAGGGGTTTATGAAAGTAAGCACTGGTGCTTCATTACAAACAAAATAAGAGCGGTTTTGAGTTAAGATAATAATTTTTCAGTGTTTTTAACAGCAGATGAGTCATAAGAACAAAGCAAGTTGTCTGTTCTAAAACAGAGCATTTCTGTCTTGCATACTAGATTTCCACTAAACTTAAAGAATGTATTTTAGTTAGAATTACTCAGAAGTTTTCTAAATACAGTCGATTCTCCACATTGATGGCTTTGAATTTGGCAGATTTGATTATTCACAGATTTGATTAAAACATTATTTCTAGATCCTTCAATGCGACTGTGTGATCAGATTCTGCTAGACATTGATCATAGTCATTGGATGATCCAGAGATTTCTAGAGAGGAGTTCTTTCAGATTAAAAAAAATCAACATTTTAAATAATAATAATTTATTTTTGCACCCCGCCTCCATCTCCTTGACGGGACTTGGGAGGCTTCCATGGGGACAAGCCCAATTAACATAGTTAAAATAAACACATTAAAATACATAAACGACAGCATAAAACAAAATAAAACATCAACATTCTATCAAAATATAAAAAAAACCATCAAACCAACAACCAGTGGACCTGAAATTTTGTTGTGGACACGGGTGGGCATGGATTTTCGTTTTCACAAGTGACATTTCACCCCAACTTCAGTGAATGTGAATGACTGACTTGTAATAAGATTGTGGGAGTTACCGATGTCTTTTTAATTGAGATGAATTTTGGAATGTTTTTGCCTTCACCACGGATAATGTTCACAACACTGCCATTTAAAGATTATTTTTATTTTATAGGTTCTTAAATGTGAAGTGGAGTTGATGGCAAAGATGGCAAAAACCATTGATAGTTTTACTCAGAATCAGACCAGACTTGTAGTGATTATTGATGGATTGGATGCATGTGAACAGGACAAAGTTTTACAGATGCTTGATACTGTAAGTAACATAATTTCACAGCTATGCTAATAAATGGTTTTGAGATGTTTTGAGATCGAAGTGTATGGGTATTACATTTGTTTTATTTTGAGCAGTTTGGATTCAGTGCCAACTTGTGACTAAATCATGTTGATACCAGTGGAACAAATTAGTTTAGATACGTAAGGTTCATTATTTTCATTTGTGGAACTTACAATTCAAGCCAGTGCATGCTCATTTGAAATACTATTGAGATTAGAGAGCTTATTCTCAAGTAAAATATGCCTACAACCGTAATCTAGTAATCATAAATAGCTTGAAGATATAACACAAATTGCTTGGCCAAAATGTATATAAATGGTGGATCAAGTAAACTTGATAGTTGGAAATTGGCACATCACTTCACCTCATCCTTCCCCCTTGTGATATAACTCTGAAGGGAGAAGGCCCACACTATTCCTTCCATTAGTTCTGTTCAAAGTGGTGATCATGGATTAGTGCCAGTCTATGGTGAGTTTCAAGGGGTAAAAAAATAAATAGCTGTAGTCATTGGGTGCAGATATATTGTGAGTCCCTCACACATAGGAGAGAGAAAGGGCGCTTGTCCCCAGATTCAGGTAGCTTGAGAAACAGTGTTTTTCTTTAGTTTTTCATTCACTGGCAGCAGATTTCTCCATTCTCTCTCTACTCTTTCTGTTTCACATCCCAAACAATTCTAATAGGTTTCTGTACATTAAGGAGCAGTATTGCAGAGGCTGCAGTGGAAGCAGAGAAGTACAAAAGCTCGATTTAGCAAACAATGCTGTAGATCCACGTAGTGTATATTGCCTTTTGAACTTTACCTCTCAGCAGAATATTGTGGTTGCAGTGCTGCAGGACGGCTATGTTACACATCAAGCCACCAAAGCATATTAGAGTGCCATTTATTATGTCCCCTATAATATAGAGCCCATTTTCTAATTGCCTGTCCAGCATATTGAACAGAGACAGGCCACAGCAGAAAAAAGGGACAGAAGCATGCATCTTCAGTGTATTTCAATCCAGGTCATTTGGCTCTTAACGCCTTCAACTACTTTTGGTGTTTTTATCATCTTTACTGATGTGTAGTTCAACTTTCCCCCCACTTTTCACAGGTTCGAGTCCTATTCTCGAAAGGTCCATTTATTGCCATTTTTGCTAGTGATCCACACATCATTATAAAGGCAATAAATCAGAATTTGAACAGTGTGCTTCGGGACTCAAATATAAATGGACATGATTACATGAGGAATATAGTCCATTTACCAGTCTTTCTGAACAGCCGTGGACTCAGTAGCGCTAAAAGGATGATGGTAGCTGCAACCACAAATGGAGATGTTCCATATACAGATGGTTCAGGTATAGTAGCAACTACAAAATTGAAAACAAGCACATATTAATATCAGCATTCATTAGCAATATATGGTATAACTTCATCCTCTTGTTTTTATATTAAGAGTTCATGGTACAAATTGCTGCTTGCAACAATGAAGGAAAATATGGATTTTTTTTTTTTTTTTTTAGGATTTCATGAAGATGTAGACCGAAGAGTTTCACAGAATAGTCTCGGAGATGTGACCAAGCTTGGAAGTAAAACAGCTCTTAACAGACGAGTAAGAAATAGAAAATTGGAAATCTTTCAGTATTTGGAAAACCCATTAGAATGTCTTAGAACAGGCTTGCACAACTTGTGGCTCTCCGGGCATTTGGGGCTCCAACTCCCAGAAGCCCTAGCCAGCTTGTCCAACAGACAAAAAAATTGGGACCTGAAGTCCAAAACATCTGGAGGGCCAGAGGTTGTGCAGGCCTGCCTTAGGATGTATTTAGTTCAACTGCTCTCAGTTAATTGTGTTAAACTTTTCAGAAGTGAAAATTCTACAGAAATGCATCTGTGCAGAAATCAGTGTCTGAATATTGTACCTGTGTTGGTAGGCAGGCACTGCCAAGTATTGATATAAAATTGAGAAACAATAGTGATGTAAAATTGCTGTTGGAAATAGCTGTTTGAGAACCTAGTCTAATCCAATGCAACATTCTCTTTTTGGAAAGACAAAAATAATGAAGCTTACAATAAAACTGTTAAAAACACAGCAGAAGCCCAAATGTAATAAAACCCAACTTTTGAGAGAAAGCATAAATGGAGTTCAGCAGTTCGATAAATTAAAACTCAGTAGAATAAAGCAGTCTTCATGAACTTATTGTAAGAGATAATCAAACTATTCTTTCTTACACATTTCTTTCTCATCAAGAATTTGCACAGGTGTCTTCACAGAGTATATCAAGAGGCATGCTAATCCTGAATAATTTTCAACCCCCGCTGCTCTGTAGAAATCCTAGCATGATGCTTGCCATATCCCAGAAAAAAAGAGGACAAAGTCATTGTCATTGGGAGGGAAAGGCTGCCAGCTATTGTTGTTTCCTAGTCAGCAAATCTGTCCTTGAGCCGAGTGCTTTAGAAAGGCTGGCTTGGACAGATTCCTCTGCCATACACATTGTGCTTAAAGAGAAATAGGATTGGAGAAAGAACATAATTTTTTAAGCATTCAAAGATATAGCTGTGTTAATTTGGATCCGGAGCTGTGGTGGTGCAATGGGTTAAACTCTTGTGCCGGCTGAACTGCTGACCTGAAGGTCGGGGTTCTAATCTGGGAGACGCGGTGAGCTCCCATCTTTCAGCTCCAGCTTCGCTTGTGAGGACATGAGAGAAGCCTCCCACAGGATGGTAATACATCTGGGCATCCCCTGGGCCATGTCCTTGCAGTTGGACAATTCTCTCACACCAGAAGTGACTTGCAGTTTCTCTAGTCACTTCTGACACGATAAAAAAAAAGTTTGGATCTATATGCTAAGAGATCTTGTAGTAACTTTGAGATTGACTGAGAAAAAAAGGTTTCCTAGATTGAAATCTACTTCCATCACATGCTACTCAAAGGTGCTAAGCTGTAGCATCTTTTGAAGATGTCATTAGAAAAATACTTAAATATTTTATCCTAATAAATTTTCTTTGAAAAGTCATTTCAAAGGAGGATTTTAAGTACTTTTTCATATTCTCCTGTTGGATATGCTGATATTTGCTGTTTGTTAAACTATAAATGTTAAATGCACTTGCTTTGGTTTTTATTATAATTAGGATACTTACAGGAGAAGACAAATGCAGCGTACCATTACACGTCAAATGTCTTTTGACCTGACTAAACTATTAGTTACAGAAGACTGGTTCAGTGATATTAGTCCACAGACTATGAGGCGATTGCTCAATATTGTTTCTGTGACAGGTATGTTTGCTGTTTGGTCTTTGAAATACAAGGTCAGCCATTTAAGAACTATAATCTGCATGTTGCATGTATTGGAAAAGCAAAAAGATAGGGAGGAAGAAGAGAGAAAAAAGAAAGCCTAGGCTGAAAATCATTAATGGAACCTGTTTGAATTGCAAGGTTGAGAAAAGTCTTGATCATTGAACTAATCTCATAGGGCCTTTCCAGGCAGGCCCTATATCTCAAGAGCTGATGTAATAATAATAATATTTATTTATTTGATCAGTCATATGACCATTTCAAAATAGAGCTGATGTAATAACCATACTTTTCTCTCTTCAGATTGATAGACAAATCTTCATCACTTACTTGAGTTACTTTTTTTTTACTACAATTCCCAGAATCCTCCAGCTAGCAACGATCATACTAGTTGGTGGGTTCTGAAGACTTTATTTCAAAACATAACATTATAATGATTTACGGTGTGCATTCAGAATCATAGGTTGTTGTTTGGAGGTGTGAATGAATGCTAACTAGGAAATTTGCATATGAACAGTATTTTTAAAAAGGGGTTCTTCAATTTCCAACACCCACCATCTTAAAACTCAAGCTTGCTTACTGTTTTTGATATATTCAATGGTCACAATAAACGTACTGCAAGATTGCAGACTTGCAGTTTGCAATTTTATCTAAATTGAACTTCATATCTTACAGGACGCTTATTGAGAGCTAATCAGATCAGTTTCAACTGGGATAGATTGGCTAGCTGGATCAACTTGACAGAGCAGTGGCCATACAGGACATCATGGCTTATATTATATTTGGAAGAAACCGATGGCGTTGCAGATCAGTTAACTTTAAAAACAATCTATGAGAGGTATGTAGGACTTAATGAGAAATGTCTGCTAATTATGTATTTGCATATCTGTCCATAACAAAATACCCTTGAGACGGAATCCAAATCTAAATGTAGAATTAATTTGATCTATGTTTCATGTACCCTTTACACACATATCCTGAAGGTAATTTTTAACCATATCTGTAATAATTTTGTGCATGAAACAAAGTTTGTATGCACTGAATCATCAGAAAGGAAAGATGTTACTATATTGGCTGCCCTTGGAGACAATTTTGAAGTTTGGAGTATTTTGAATTTCCTGCAGAGAAGTTGATGATATAGTATAGGACACTACAATACAAGCTTTGGTTTTTCACACATAATGTAAATGTATTTCTTATAGATGCAGGATATGATGCGATAGTATTGTAAATAAAAAAGGCATTATTAACGATTGAGACTTCTTGACTTTTGGACAATATTTTTGTATTGTTCCAAATTGTCAGCTGTTAAACCCTGCTATAGCTGGAGCTTTTGCCAGTTTGTATTGGAAGTTGTCAGGAAAGAATTGGCTAGATTCAAAAAAGAGCAAGCTGGGAGATACCACAGATAAGAGTCATCGTGTTGTGTGAAGTGACTACTGTTGTCCTACTACAGCTATGTCATATGCAGAGCTTTTTTTTTTTTTTTTTTGAGATTTTAGGCCCTGGAATGCCACTCCCAGCATAGCTACGAACCATGATTATGGGCCTTATATTACAGGAATGTAACATGTCCAAGATCTGTAAATTATATGTTACCATGTATTTCAGGGATTAAATTAACAGTCTTGGAAAATATTTTCCAGTGTACAGGCCCATTTAGAAGTTTCATAAAGTTCAGTGGAATGCACTCCCAGGTTAATTGTGAACAGAATGCAACCTACATTAATCTTCATCAGCTAGCTGTACTCTACCAGTAGATGGCACTAATACTACCAGGTATTTTGATGAAGACATCTACAAAGCAGTTGTAAAATAAATATGAATTTATATTCATCTTTATCTTAATAGGATGTCTAATACTTGCTTCCAAGGACCACAGTGTCGCCTTTATACAGTATGTTGGAAGAGATAAATAACTTGGAGATTAGGAATGATCTTAAAAATCTAATCTACTATAATAAACATTAAAATGCCACCTGTGTGATATGGATTTTGGGAACTGGAAACAACTGAGGATTTGATTTCATCCCCACTCTGGGCATCCCCCAAGTTTAAGATACATAGTTCTTACTTTTCCATGTCATCCTCTTGAAAAATCTCTAATGTTCAGAATAAGCTGCTAGCAAGTGTCTGGTCCAGAATCTCCCAGTTTGCTTCAAGTGTTTGATCACTGTATCATGCCACCCTTGTAAACCCAGAAAACCTTTTATTAGGTTTGTTTAGCATTGGAGGTCAGTGAGCAGATATTTACAGATTTTTGGGTGTTTTGATAGTGCTAGTGCTATAGCTTCCTTGAGCTGAAATAGCAGATTTCGTCCTAATGAGGTAATATGAGTGGTGAGGCTATTCAGCTAATTATTTATTGAATTTGTGAGCTCCCTTTCTTCCAGAGTTGGACCAAAGCAGTTTCCAAAACACATAGAAATACTCCCAATCACATTTTTAAAGGCACATTTGTGAATTCTTGTTGTTTCCAATGAAAAGTATATTTTGTTAATTCTCTTTCTGGGAGAAGGACTTATAACCATGTGAAGATGTTCTCCTCAACATAATCTGACACTGTCATTTAGAAGAAGTAGGAAGCTTTAATTTGATTCTTGTACACCAACTGCAGATTCTAAACTTAGGACATTATAATTACTATGTTACTGAATTATATTGTTGTGCAAGTGATGGTACCACAAGATGGCCACTGCTTAGTTGTCAATACAGCTGCCCACTGACTGCTAAAGACTGCATGCATCTCCTAATTAGCACCTCTGTTTGCATCAGTTCCACAGGGATTGTGATAAGGTACCACCTTCACATAATCTCGGAATAAGTGTAACCAATTGAGTAAAGGGATTTATCATAACATAAAATTGCAACAGTATTATCGTCCTCAACTCTGCTTGCCTTTGTCGATGTCATCCTCCCAGATCAGGTTGTGTGATGTCATTTTCCTGACAACTCAACACCATCTGCAGTAAATTGGATAAAATAAAGCAAATGACTGGAGGGCTTTATTCAACCTAACAACAGTTCTGCTGATCCACTGAAACCTTTTCATGAGAACTTCATTGTGCCTTAAATGCATTTGAAACTGTTTTAACTTAGTGTTTTTATAGGACCACTTGCGTAAATGTTTTAAAACTTTAAACCTTTGTGTTTTAATTGTATTACATCATAAAAACGGCACATATTTTTAATCTTACATAATTGTTTACACTAAAATATAAATAAATAAATCATTTGGTGCAGTCCATACTGCCTTAAGTTCTGCAGAGGCATGCTGCAACTTCACAGAATTATTCTAGCCTACATACCGTATGTTAAACTTTTTTTAAAACATTAAAATTGTTTTAAAACTCTAAAACTGTTTTAGAGTAGCCCTGGTTTTTAAATTTATGTGTGGACCCTTAGAAGGGCTTGTGTAATCAAACAAACAAGGAACTATGCCTTCTTTCAAATACTGTTGTATTGCAGTTCCTGACAACCCTATCCAGTATTGTCAATGTGAAAGACTGTGAAAGCTGCAGTCCAACAATTGAAAAGGCATACTTTGCTCACCCCAGCCAAAAGAAGATGGCCTAAAATACAGAAATTGTATGAATAAAGAAACCAGTATTTTTTCTTTTTGGTATCTTTTATTTATTTCTGGTCCAGCTTACCTCTCCGAATGCACCTCCCTTTATGAGCCAGTTAGAGCATTAAGATCAGCTGAGGAGGTCCTGTTCTCGGTTCCACCGCCCTTGCAGGTGCGACTGGTGGGGATGAGAGACTGGGCCTTCTCGGTGGTGGCACCTCAGATACAGTTATATAGTCATATATTATTTTAGTTATGTGATGTATTTTACATTTATGTGAGGCATTGAATTTTGCCATTTACTATGCTATGAACCACTTTGAGTCCCCCCAGGGATGAGAAAAGCGGTATAGAAATGAAATGAATAAATATATAAATATTTCAATAAAGATGGAATGAACAATAATTTTGTTAATTATAGTTTTTCTTAAGCTAATAGATCTATTTCTCATCTACTTTTTTGTAAGGATTTCAAAATGTATTTACAGGATAATTATCAGAGAAAGCATAAATGATATATACATTTTATCTTATTAAATGTATAAAAAATCCAAAACCTTTAGTGTTGGTAGTAAAGTTAATTCCCTCCCTATAAAAAGCCTCATTTAGTTTGATAGCAATTTGATGATACATCTGCTTGCTTTATTCATCTGAAAAATGTTGGTGTGATAAAGTTGCTTTTGTTAAATTATTTTCTAAATCATTCAACTTTTAACGAATGCCATTTGATAATAACATTGGAAAGCAATTTTAGCTAATTAAGGAGATCCTTCTATAAACCATTGGAACATTAAGATGACAAACTGTTCATTCAGGATTATTTTAATTGGGACAATTATTATAATTTTATTGCAATTATGTGTTGAGCTAAAAACTTTTGTCTAAATCATTTGATTTTTTGTTGCTAACATATACATAAATGTGAGAAAGGGGGAAACTCATTTCACATTACTTCTCCAATGCTACGTTTAAACAAGTTATTTTTTTATTCTGTGACAAATGTGTTTGAGATTTTTTATTTATATTTTTTAAAATATGACTATTTGAACATTTTTTTCAGAAAGCATACATAACACAGTGTATATGCATACTTTTACACAAAATTGTTCGGAGTTGTATAATGCATACTCCAAAAAATGGAAAATTAAATAAAGACAAATCGAGACTATTATCCTTGGATATTTATACATGGACTGATGTAATCAGAGTCCACGTGTAAAGACAAAAAGAAGAACCAGTTGATCCTCTGTATGAATAATAATGTAATCCTTATGTTTTTAGACAATGTAATTAATTTTATGTTGTACTTGTTAATGTAATAAGTGGAATTATATTGGTTTCTTTTAGTGTAGCCTTTGAGGAAGGCCAGTGCTAATAGTGGTCAGAGTACATTGGGCTTTTTAAAAACAAATAAAGCAAGAGATTATCTATCAGAACAGGGAGTCTCCTGATTAGCTTTGGGTTTAATCCCATTAAAGTTGTGCATCCCTTGTCTGGCATGCTGAAATATAAAATACTCCAAATTCCAACCTGCCCGTTTGGATGGCTGAGATAATGACATCTTTGCTTTCTGATGATTCAGTGAACACAAATCTTCTATCATGCAAAAAATAAGTAAAATATAGTGTATAATAATCAAGTTATGGTTCCATCTCCAAGATACTCTGTTATGTATGTCTATGCCAATAGTGGTATTACAAAAAAATTTAAAATCCCAAACACTTCTGGCCCAAGGATGTTTGGATAAGGGATACTCAACCTGTACTTGTTTTTCCTCAGTATGTAATTGTTCTGTTTTGACTGTCCCCAAGGCATGTGTAGGTAGTTATAGATGTCACTTCCAGTTGGCACCACTTCAGGCTGTTCTGGAAGCCATATTGCACAGGATTTTATAGTACCGCTCGATGTCACTCAGCTTTGTTTGCATTTTCACATCTCAGTTTACGTCAACAAGTTCCTTCAGTTTAACTCCAGCAAATATAGACTGCTTCTGGGCTTCTAGATATTACTGGATTGCAAAACCCTTTCATCCTAATCAGTATACACAGTTGTGCAGAATAATGAGAGTTCAACTACAACAGTGGTTCTCAACCTGTGAGTCCCCAGGTGTTTTGGCTTACAACTCCCAGAAATCCCAGCCAACTGGCAAGCTGCTCTAAATTTCACCGGCATCTATTGTGTATACGCATACTTATATCTACAGAGTTTATCAAATTGTTAAACATATAGAAGCTAAAATGGGATGTTCTTGACTTCTTCATTTCCTACAAGGAACTCCAGTTTGGATCCCATAATTTCTGCTGAACACTGTTACTAATTTCAGGTGGTAACAACTTTTGGGACTGATGTTCCTTTTGTGGACTCGGTTCAGTCATCCAGTTGTTTAGCCCAGCGGTTCCAAATTTTTCCCCTTCTGGTAATTTAAAGTTCAGTTCCCAGATGCCCTAGTCAGCTTGGCCAGTGGTCAGGTGTTCTGGGAGATAAAGTAAAACACTGGAGAAACAAGAATTGAGCATCCCTGGTTTTGATCACCAGCTTTCTAATTCCTTAGGAAATTTGGTTTCATAAGCAAGATTTCGTCAAAGATTGCAACTTGATTAGTCTCGTTTTTGTCCCAGACTTTCCTGTAAGGAACTTTAACTTGCATACATAGTACTCTGCAGGAACACTTACTACTCACCAACGTGTTCTAATGTTACTTTTTTCAGTTTTGTGCTAATTCTTCCTATCTCCTTTAAAAGAAAAAAAGATACCATCAGTAACAGCAGATGTTTCCTTCTTCCATTACAGTGCTTTAGTTTTTCGAATTGACTTGGCCATTTGGGGCATGTAATGTTGCAGAATTTTTTTGTGTACTTGTTTTAGGATTTTAAATAAAAAAATCTGAGAAGCACAGATGCATAGCTTTATGGTTCTTTGGCAAGGCATTATAATTTACATAAATATTTTTCAACATAATAGTGGAATGTATTGCGCTCAGAACGTTAGAATAGAGATTTCAGTCCATAAACCAGTAGTAGGCTATTGGATTCTGAACAGGAGCATTGTTCGTCATGTGCAGAACACTATTCACATTCAGACTTAATCAGAATTGGCATTAACGTTCAGCTAATTTGCTTCATGTGACTTCTCAGCTGTGGCTTTTCATTTAAGTGGTATTTCCTTTTCTTTTTACAATCTTGTTCTGCAAAAGTCAGATGGTTGGGAAATGTTTTAACCCTTTGTTCACTGTTTTCACTTGCTTGGTAGTCATCTTGTTCTTTAATTATGTGACTTGAATATGAAAATGTACAGCTTTGGTTCATAAATGATTAAGTGGGTTTTTTCTTTAGTAATCCAGGAAAAATAGGAGATTTGTTGCTGATTTATGATTGATTGCTGTTGTTTAGAAGAAATATTTGCGAATTCTATAGACCAATGTTTAATAACCTGAAAGTTCTTTTGTTTTCTGTAGGATTTCAAAGAATATTCCAACAACTAAAGATGTAGAGCCTCTACTTGAGATTGATGGGGATATTCGAAACTTTGAAGTGTTTTTGTCTTCACGAACTCCAGTTCTTGTAGCACGTGATGTAAAAACCTTTTTACCATGTACAGTAAATCTTGATCCAAAACTCAGAGAAATTATTGCAGGTAAATGTATTGCCAAATAACTGGGAATTATTTCAGTGCCGCTAGTATAATTCTTTTACCTAACTAAGATAAACTTCTGTTATTGGAAACAAGAAATACACAGAATCAAATCAGACGTGATCACTGTTTGGTTTTATTCTTTGAGCAATTAGTGCTGAGTTCCTGGTTCCTTATAAATGTTACTATATCCTACATGTTTTCTAATCCATGATATTGCTAGGACTACACTTTTTTGAAGTTCATTTCATTTATTGCTAATTAGATTGTTGAATCTTCAGTATTTGATTTATAACAAATTAACAACTGATAATGTAGGACAGGGGTCCTCAAACTTTTTAAACAGAGGGCCAGGTCACAGTCCCTCAAACTATTGGAGGGCCAGATTATAATTTGAAAAAAATGAATTAATTTCTATGCACACTGCACATATCTTATTTGTGGTGCAAAACCACTTAAAAACAATACAATAATTAAAATGAAGAACAATTTTAGCAAATATAAACTTATTAGTATTTCAATGGGAAGTGTGAGCCTTCTTTTGGCTGATGAGATAGGATTATTGTTATTGTTGTGTGCTTTCAAGTCATTTCAGACTTAGGTTGACCCTGAGCGAGGGCCAGGTAAATGACCTTGGAGGCCCGCATCCGGCCCCCGGGCCTTAGTTTGAGTACCCCTGATGTAGGAGATATATGCTTATAGGGTTGTAATTTTCTGATTAGAATACAATTTGAATGAGAAGATAGATGTGATCTTCCCTTGAGAGTGATATTATGCATTTTAAACGTTATTTTTAGGTCACCTGTTACATCTGAGACAACTTAAAATTAAAACAAAAATTAATAAATTTATAATATATCTGTATGGCCTGCTTTTATTTCGTAATTTACACTCATCTAGTCTACTTATTTATTTATTTTATTTGTATCCCGCGTTTCTCTACCCCAAAGGGACTCAAGGCAGTTTTACATATGGCAACTTTTCAATGCCTTTGGACATCAAACAGTTAAAATTCACTTAAGTTAAAAAATTAAAATGAAAATTAAATGCACATTAAAACATATAAAACATTGCATTCACAATTAAAATCAGTTTCATATTTTTTTTATCAAACAAAGAGTATTTTCAACCTTTTCATGTTCACTGAACATTTCATTTCCATAATGAAATAGGATTAAAGTGCAGCCTTTTTCAAGATATATTTATATGGCCCTCAGTAAAAAACAAAAGCACTCAATGGGGGGCAAAATGAGCATTTCGCTTTCTTGAGAGCACCGCAGAAGTCCTGGCATTTTCCTCTATGTAATAACATTTGGGGAAACCCATCTATTTACAGATCTTCAACATATTTCTGCCCTTCTTGTTCCAGATATAAAATTTGCTTGATGTAGAATGCTGTCTTATTTCTGAAGGGAATCTTTCACTGATTTATATTCTTTTAAGAACAGGGGAGTGGAGGGAGAGGTATATATTCAGTGTGATTACTCTACTTGCAGCAAGTCAAGGAGAAATGACAGCAAGAGTTTCTTCAGGTTTCTGTATGATGAGACACAAAAGGAAATACCGTATTTACTTGAGTATAATGTGCAATCAAATGTAATGTGCATCTCAGGGTTGAAGATGCACATTGCAAAAAAAAAAAAGATTTGCTCTTAAACATAATGCTAGGCTACAGTGGCAGCAAAAAGTCTGGTGAGAATATGCAGCTCTCTGTCAGCCTTGATGGGAAAGTGGCAATGGCTGCGAAAATGTTTGTGGGAAGCCAGCTGCCCACCAGGCCTGATGGAAGGGCACAGCGTCCCACCCTGCATTTTGCAGCCACCGCAATTTTCCCACCAAGCCTCTTCCTCCTATGTTCCCCAGCCAAGTTCTCTTGCTTAATGGCACAGATATATTTACGTGCACAACTTGTCATTGAATCTAATGTGTACCTCAGTTTTGGTGATGTTATTTAGCAAAAAAAGGTGTGCATTAGGTTCAAATAAATATGGTATATTTATTTGAACTCTCCACATTCCAAAGAAGCAGATCAGTTTTCCCCTTTCCTTTCTCCCTGGGAAGCCATCTCCTTCAAAGAGGCATTTTACAGTTTTATTCTTCTGTACATCCCTAATTCCTTCCTACTTTTGTTGCACACCCAGCTCTTTAAAAAGTTACGTTTTAGACTACAATTTCCAGAACTTCCAGTCAGTTCTTTGGTTCTGTTTTTCTTAAGCCTTCAGTAGAGAACTGAGGAAAGAGAAAAAATCCTTTGTTGTTGTCAGATCTTCAAGCTTTTGTGTTTGCCTCTTCGTTGCAAAGGGGATTGATATTATGTGCCTGTTTCTAGTGAGAAACACAAATTATCAAGGACATTTGAAAGAGATTCACTTGAAGTGTTACAAAATTGGGCTTTTGCAGTCTTTTGTGTAATTTGTCAGATTGTATTGTTATTTATTGACGGTGTTCCTTGGTTGCATTTCAGATGTCCGTGCTGCAAGAGACCAAGTTAATATTGGGGCAATCCCATATCCCACATTGCCTTTACAAGAGGCAGCTCCTAGAGCTTCATCAGTATTTAGCCAGCCATCATCAGCCTGCTCTTCAACACACTCCTTTAATGGGCCATTCAATGGGAATGTTGTATCACCACAACCCCACAGCAGTTACTATAGTGGAATGACAGGACCTCAGCATCCATTCTATAATAGGGTAAGAAATAGAGCCACTGTTTACATTTTTACAGGATTGTATTTTTTGTCAGATGTTTTAAAAGCTTGGTTAAAAACACTTCACGTCATTAGCAGAAAATGGATGAAAATGATGGCCTTTGATTACATGTGTGTGACAAGCACTCAGCCCTGATCCAAAATTTGTGAAAAAAATATCTGTGGATTTCACAATTGCAGGAGGCAAGCAAATGAATGAAAGACCAGGACCCATGCTTTACGTTATGCACAGAAGATACTATTTCTTTGTTTAGTAAAGCATGGATTACATTATTTCTAGAATATTCATGCAGAGTCCAATGTATAGGCTTGGACGTGAATCATACATTGAACCAACCAATATAGAGTGGATCAGCATGTTCTTATTGTTGTACATTAAAAATATCTGAAAAGTAGGGGCAATCAAATGTTTGGGGATCTGGATTTCACTTTTTAGATCCTTAAACCATGATCTCCCTATCACATTTTGCCCCATAGGATTTTCTTACTACTGGAATGGAATTAAACTAACTTGCATTAGCGTGGCTGTTCTGGCAGTAGTTCTAAACTGCATCATTTAGTCGCTCTCAAGTGAAACTGTGTAAATGTTGTTGTAACTCATTACAAAAGTGTTTCATTACCCTAATGTTTGTCTTTCATTGAACTAAACTGGAACTCTTCCATTGACTTCAAAGTGGGGTAGGTACCAACCTATCTATTGCGCCTATGTTTCAAACAACATAGGCCTGTGTAAATTGTCTCAAGAAGTGGACACTTTTAATAACTTTTATGTTTTACATTTTCAAGTAAGTCGTATTTGTTGAATTAAGTTTTTTCTTTTGATTTTTGTAATGGTCCCTTTTTGTTACATGTTTCTTTCCATAGCCATTCTTTGCCCCATATGTTTACATGCCAAGGTATTACCCTGGCAATTCTCATCTCACCTCACGTCCATCACTAAAATCGAGTTTGTCCAGGGAACAGAACAGTGGTCTAGTAAGTATCTCAAACAGTAACTGAACATGTTAACTTACTGGTACATTATAATATTAGTGAGTAAAAACACAAATAGATCTGTTGTTTAATGTTGGTACATAGATGTGTAAGGAACTTTTTTCAGAAACTTTCTCTAAAATTGAGACAAAGTTAGGTAAGATTGGGAAATGAATCATCTTTCACATTTGTAACAAGTTTATATCAAAGCGTTTTTATATATAACCTTTGAGTCCTGGTAGTAGCCTGAAGTCTAGTTAAATATTTGTGTGTTTTCATTCAGATGCGAAACAAAATGTATTTTGTTCAGTTAAAATTCTAATTTCTGTCTGGACAGAAACTGAGCTTTATGCTTGTTTATGTACTAACAGTAGCATGATTCCATAAATTGTAATTATTATAAGTTACATGCACTGAGTCATCAGTTTAGAGAGAAATAGAAAATGCTGAAAAACACCCCCTGTATTGAAATTCTATTCTGATCTGAAAAATGGATAACTTTAGAGGAAAGTTAGAAGTTTCTAAACTGTATTCTAACAATGACCTCAATGAAGAAAAGACCACCCAAAGCCTGTGGGCCACAAATTGCCTCAAAGTTTGGCGATTTGATGGGTTTTCTTGCCTTTTTCCTTGAAAGTCTGGTCTGCTGAATTATCACAGAGGCTCAGTTCAGTTCCAGTGCCGAATCATGTCCCTATGTTCATGTGCTCCATTCTTTTCTCTCTCACCTCTGGTTTGTGAGTTAATCATGGTTTGTACCAACTATGATTGGATTAGTTCAAATGCAACAGTGAACTACAGTTTCATGCTAATGCAGAAGCCATGCAAAGACTTGGAAGTATAAAAAGAAACAAGGAAGGCAGGAGGGAATGTGAATGTTTGAAGTGTGTTCCAAACTGAGTGATTAAACAGTGTGATTTCAAAGGTCAGGACAAAATGATGTTTTTGTAGGATATAACCTTTTCATCCATTATCCCTTCATATTTTTGTTGCATGCTTAACAGTGTTGTGCGAATCATAATGATTTGTTGTTGTTGTTAGGATATTATCAAGGAAGATGCTGATGAGTGGGTTCCTTCACCCACAGACCCCTCAATGGTAAATGAGTAGTCATGTGGTGTGGAACCATAGCATCTCATTGCTTCTTCAACAGTAATGAGCCTGCTTTCATTATAACTGCAGTTCACTAACACTGCATCAGTGGCTTGATGAGCAAATAGAGTAGATGAAGACTAATAAGCATAGTTTGTGAATGAATACAAGAGCTAATATTCTACTTTAAAATGTACTGTGTCATTTGCCTTCCTCTTGCTGCATTTCAGTAGCCCGTGGAGTACAATGTTTTCAGTAGAGTACAGTATGTTCTCCCTTCATTTAGTAGCATTGTTCTGACTAGTAAAAGGGACTTAGGATGTTAGCTGTTCACTTTAGTAGATGTGAGTGGTTGATGTTGTTCAATGTTTTAGCCAAATAATGCACACTTATCCTTATTAAATTGCATAAAGCTGCTGCAGTTTGCCAGGTTCAAAGCTGGTTAGAGGGCAGCTGTGGAGATGGATGGTTGCTGCTTTAGTGGGAAGGCCAGATATTAATTGTGTGTATTCTGCTTTTTCTTGTTGTTCATATATATTACCATGTTACATTGATCCTGGATCTTTAAATCACTTTTGCCATTGGTAACCTAAAATTCCTTACACAATAGCTCTTTGTACCCACATCTTCAGCAGAACCTCTGGTCAGCAAAAATGGAAGGCACTCCTTCTCTTAATGGCTTTATCCTGTTTCTGCAACAGCTTTTATTTGCATGGCTTTGGTTTTGTCTTTATATTCTAAATACTGGGGTAGGTGTGGGGGTTCTCTCTGCATTTCTTGTCTCTCTGTGTCTTTTTCCCTGTCTTTCTCTGTCTCTGTCTCTCTCATGCACACATTGGAGGAAAAAGACGAAAGATTCCAACCTTCTTCCGTCCCTCTCCTCCATGCTGTTCACTGCTTATTGTGGTGACAACCACACCTCCAGTGTAGTGGAGGTCACTACCAAACAATAATGTACTTTTTTACACTTATTGGCAGCTGATCCTTCACTGTCTTGCAATTCATGCAGATCTAAGTCACAACTTCTTTCCAGGGGTTTGCACTAGAAATGCAAGTAACTTAATAAAAAAAGGAAATTTTGAATAATTATATGATATATTTCTGGAATGCCCCTTCCCTTTGTATTGCCTCCCATCAACTACAGCTAGTGTGAAAGTCCTAGTAGACTTATTACTAGGTCAAAAATCATAGCGAATGCCAAGTTGTACAAGTTTGTTCTAGAGTAGGGCTGGATAATTGTGGCCGCCTGGATTCTTTTAGATCTGTTTTGTGCTTTCAAGTCATTTCTGACTTATGGTGACCTATCACAGGACTTTCTTGGCAAGATTTGTACTGAGAGGGTGTGTGTTTTGCCTTCTTTTGTAGCTGAGAAAATCAGAGTTGCCTAAGGTCACCTGGCGAGTTTCTGTGGCTGAGCCTTGTTCTCCAGAGGTGTAGTCCAGTATTCAAACTATTACACCATGCTGGCTCTTTTAGGTGATAACTCTTCATTCCTCATCATAGAGTAATCTGGGTAGGGCTGCTGGGAACTATACATCAAAAATAGCAGAAGGGTCACCATTACTTGCCCCTCTGTCTGTTACAAATATTGAGGCTTTTAGCTGGCTGTAGCAACTTAATAAATTGCACAAGTAGCTATACTAGTAAAATAGAATCGGTTTTATTAAATAAGGTCTTGTAGCATTTTGTCATGAGGGAGAAAAAAGACCCTTACTACAGCCTGGTCCTGTTAATAATACTGGCAATTTCTGAATGTGAGGCATCAGTTTTGCCTTAAAAATTAAACATTTTCTATCTTGAAGTTGAGTGTGGAAATGGATTTTTTTGGCCTAACTGTGCAATAAGTGCAGTTCCTATTGTTGCCAGGAGCCCTCTGGATACGGTTCTTCAATGTAATGGGGTAACTCACACTAAAAGAGGAATGGTAGTGGAAAAAAATATCACCTGTGTACGCAGCTTGGGCGGGAAGGAAAATCAAGTCAGTGGAAAAGGGAAGCCTAGCTGTATTTGAAGGGAACACTTGCTGGATTATAATTTGTGTTGACTATATGAAATTGGGTGACTGAAGATGCACCTTTAATATATGCCTTTGAATCATTCTGGAATCCATGAGTTTAAATAAAATGTGGTATTCATATACATGTAACTTTCTGTGAGATTTTTATTCCAATTCAAAAGTGTGTAATTTACTGAAATTTTGGAAATATGGACTGAGGAACTTTATTTTAGTGTATACTGTATGTGGCTGGGATCCAAAGTGTTGGATTACTTTACATAAGAACTTCTAAGCATTCCGTAGGATTATGCTCTTGCTTGAGCAGCAGTTCACCTGCTCCGGGATCACAAACTGCTTTTGAAAGTTCAACAGCAGCTTGTCTTTCAGAAAAGAAAAAAGAAACAGATGCTCTTCTTATTGCTTAGGACTAGTTGCACGTTTCTTTGGATTCTGGCCAGCATCTTTTAATTGAGTGACACCTCTTTTTTTAACAGCTATGATCCTTCATCACTCTAAAGTGGAAATATAAATAACTATACTGGTTCATTCTGTATAGGCATTTTGTAATGTTTCATGTTAAGCTGTCGTTTCTTGTTCTTTCTTAAAGCAGTGTAAAACTGGGTTAAACAGACCTAGACAGGTACAGCAACTTTCTCCAAATCATTCACTTTTATATATTATCATTAGAGAATGTACATATGTACTAGCACATCATGCAGGCTGTCTCTATACTAATGCACTTTTCCAGCCTTCAGGGTTGCTTTGACGTTCTGCTTTTTAGATTGTGCATGGCAAATGTTTATCAGAATAATTGTTCTGTCAACATTTTTGGAAAACATTAAAATTAGAAGAAATCATTTTTAGTATAGTTAAGCTATGTGTGTGTATAAATATTATGTATGATATAACAAATATCACTAAAAGCACTTGCATTGCTTATTGTTTAGGCACTGCTTCTTATTAGATGTGTTTTGGATTAAACTGAGTCTATCATGAGATTCATTTATTGACATCAATCTATTTTTTTCTCATAATTTCTATGGAGAAAAAAATTCCCGTTCTAGCTTATGTTGCATGCTAAAAGCTCTAGTTGTTAGTGAATTAATCCACCAACAGCCATAGTGTTGTATTTTAGCCCTTCTTATTTTCCTCCCTGTTTATTATTATTTTCCTGTCTGTTACTTACATAATAGGGATAAAAAGTGATAACTGTGCAATTGTAATCACAATTTGGAAACCCTAGTACAGAATGCAGAATATGTTAAATATAGATGAAATTTTCTAAATCAAAACTCAATTTTATAGGACATTTCTTCATTATTAGAGAGATGGGTTATATTGTACAACCTTGGTTGCTGTTGGTGCATATTAAATTTGAAGATGGAAATCTTCATTATCTGTGTCTGTGAAGCAACAGTCAGCATATGAACAAAAGTCTGTCTGGTTTGGTGCACATGGGAAAAAGGTTTGCCTCACTAAAGCTATTTTATGGGGATGCAAACTACACCAACTATCACATTAAAAGCTGTCTCTTTATTCTCAGTACTAAACTAATAATATCAGCATAGACATTGATGCCTATCATTATTGGTTATGTTAGCTGAGTTTATGAGGTGTTCATCAAGATGAGAGAGAGAGACTGATGGAAAGAAGGAAAGGAAAGGAAGGAAAGAGGGGAAATAGTAAGGATTGGTATTTGATTATCATGTCTGGAAGCCAATCCTTTACATACATAGTTTCAAAACTTGTTTATGTAAAATATTGTAAAATCCTTTTGTGATTTCATGAGAGATTTTATGTCTTTTTGTTATTGAAGTGTTGAATGCAGAATAATTTAGAATTACAGTAGTATCCTGATAAATAGGTTATCTGAATAGACCAGGCATCTCCACTCTTTCTGCTTTCATTTTATTTCAAATGCTTTCAGTAATGGGCCTGGCTTTGGCATTGAATGAAGACATTTTTGGGACCCCACACAAATAGCCATCTCTTCTCCAGAAATTTTTCTGCTATGCTTTATTTCTATGTTGCATCTCACAGTTTCAGTCGTGTTTTATTGGACTTGCCATATTTGTTGCCATAATTTGACCTTCAAATAAACCTTATTAGGTATTGGTCAGGTCTGCCTAGAAAATAGCTGCATGTAAAGCCCATGGTTTGTTGCCATTTTTCAGTGAAGGCATTGAAAGCTGTGAAAAAAACAAACATAATATTGTTTCTTGAAGCAGTTCTGTGTTTGAGGAATTGCAGTGACTAAAAGATTCTCTAGATGAAATCATGTAACTTCTGCCATTATGACTGTAGTGACATCCCTACAGTCATAATCATGTATCTACATTATCTATCCTTGAGTCAGTGAGTTTTCCAGTCTTTTGAAATAAGAAAAAGGGGATGTTCAAGTATCTTAGTGAAGTGGGATGATTTTGAATCTGGAAAAGTTATATCATAATGAGCAAATTGAGTAACTGTGCTATTACTACCCCCCCCCCCAAATTGAGATGAACATATCTTATTAAAAAGATGTTCCCATATCAGGAAATTCTGCCCTGCTATGACATTTATAGTACCAGCTTTGAATGTGCATTTATTTTTCTCATATATATAATTCACAAATTGAAAACATACAGACATTTCTTACATAGTGCTTAGTGCTATGGTAGATACTTACAGAAGATGGAAATCTATACGTAGGGATGAAACCCTGTTGTGGCACCTTAATTCACTAGGCAAATGTTAGGACTTAACCAGGGTTAGCCAGGGTCATTTGCAAAAGCATGATATTGCATCTTGCTTCAGCAGATACTTCATCCTCCTTTATTATGCTCCAAATGTACCAGGACCTCTTATGACAGATATGTGTCACCAGTGATGTTCTGAGCATCTTGTGGTGTTCTATCCCAATGGGACTTCCTGCTTTGTTCATTTGCCAATGCCTTGAGTAAAGAATTGGCAGTGTCATTGAAGAATAGGTATATCGCAGAACAGATCAAGATTTCTTTGGTTCATTTGATTTTAATAGTTCATGAGCATCTTGGGAATTTCAAAGAGTTGATACTTTATTCAGGGGACAGGGTAGCTCCTTGTATGGGAGTATTCACAGCTTCTGGTAATACTGCCTTCAGTGGGGGCTAACATGCAATTATATATAGGCATAATGTGGAGTGGGTATAATGAATATCTGAACATGTTGCATGTATGTACTTCTCCCTTTTACAGGGAACAGTGCCGGGTGCTGGGACAGGAGCACCTCAAGTGCCATTGAGCTCAATGACTGTTGATGCAGTCTGTGAGAAGCTGAAACAGATAGAAGGATTAGACCAGACTATGCTAACTCAGTACTCTGCAACCATTAAAAAGGTGAGTTTTCACATGAAAAATTGTCCTACAGAAAAAATTGAAAAACACCTCACCATTTTACTGTTTCTATATGCCTTCATATCTTTATATGGAATTTTGCTAAATATGGCTGCATCCCCCTTTGTTGAAAGCTCTTAATTTTGGAAGGGCTCAGCAGAGAAGATGCTCCGGCATGCATTCACTTCCCAAGCCCAACCCTGTCCACCCTCCCACTGTCATGATACATGTTTTTGTGTCAGGTCAGTTTGACTCCTTTTTCTCACATTTGGCATACTGTTGAAGCAACAGTTCTTTATAGTGGTCCCTGTGCCTCACTCAGTGGGTTTTCTGCCTATGCAGAGAACCCATTCGGAAACTAAGTAGGTTTTGGTGATAAAGCCCCACCCAATCCCCTCTGTGCAAGCTGCTCAAGAACCATTCARTGTCSTTTACTAGTGTCTCATTGAGTAGCTCCCTCCCTGCATTCTTTATCTTTGAATATTCTTTACTTTCTTTCTTTTACTATCTTTATCTTATTTCTGTTATATCTTCTTGGGGGGGGGGGACTTTCTCTGATTTCACCTCTTCCTCTTTCTTCTGTACCATCTTTCAAAGCACTCTTTTGCAGGCATCAAACACTTACCTATTTTACATTTTGTTTTTCTTTAGGCAAATATCAATGGCCGTGTGTTAGCACAGTGCAACATTGATGAACTTAAGCGAGAGATGAATATGAATTTTGGTGACTGGCATCTCTTCAGAAGCGCAGTAAGACAGTTTTAAGTTTCAAACAGAAATCAACATGGCTTGATAGCAATGGTTGTGTGAGCTTGTGCATAACTATTTGGAAATCAGTCAGTAATATGGTTTAGAATCTGTTAGCGTGTAAAGGACTACAGTCTTTACAACCATATGTTTTTCTTATTTTCTTGTTTACATTTTTTAAATAATTGAATTAGAGTATTCAGACTATATGGTGTTCTTATTTACATGGTTTTGGGGCTTGAGCAATTGTCTCGTCTATTATGTTCAAGCATTAAATACTAGGGCATCTCGGGAAAACAGAAAAGAAGAGGTTTGGTTGTGGTTAAATGATGTTCCTATGCCAGTTGCGTTATTATAAAGCTGCCTCTTCTTTAATACAATTGCTTAACATATGTGTTTAAAAATGTAAAATCTTGCATATTTGATAGATGGATTACACATACTCTGATGACTCATAGAAGCTGAAATTTGCAGGTTTCTAAATCTTAACTATGCTTTTTTTCTCTTGGCCCATTTCCAATAGATTTTATCTAACAAATTCAGCCAGATTTATCTTTTAATAGATTTTCATGCATTTCTGGTCACATTATAATAGCTGTACTTTCTTGTATTAGGTACTTGAAATGAGAAATGCAGAGACCCAAGCTGTTCATGAGGATTCTCGAGCAGTGAGTGAACAAGCCAATGCAATTCCACATAATGACCTTGTTCGCCGTCCTGCGCTGAATAGTGAATTGCCTCATACTGAACTTACTGGTCTACCTGGCCAAGCTCCATATGGTCTCAATTTCAGCTTTGAAGAGCTGAACACCATTGGTCTAGAAGAAGCCCCTCCACGTCACAGTAACCTGAGCTGGCAGGTAATCCATTGTCAGAATATTTAATTCAACCCATTCAGTTCATTTCCCCTGTATTAAGAATAGTGATTTTTACTAGTGTGTGCCATCATTTTCAGGAATAAAAGCATTTATTGGTTTCACATCAAAAGATGCATTGGTAGCATGTAGGTTAATATATTTCTTTATTTAGTTACCCTATTTATATCCTGCTTTTCTTTACCCTGGAGGGGACTCAAGGCATCTTTACATATAGGCAACTTTCAATGTCTTTGGACAACATACAGTTAAAATACATTGAAGTTAAAATTTGAATTAATTAATGCACATTAAAACATATAAAACATTGCATTCACTATTAAAATCACGTAATTCACAATTGTAATCCACAATCATAATCGTAATCATATATATGAAAAGGAAACACCATATTTTTTTAATTTAAATTTTTATTAAAGTTTTGCAAATTGTACAAACAACATTTAAAAGGAGAAAACACCATATTTTATGTTATTTCTTGTTCGGTGTAATTAAGAGCTTGCACCACCTTATGTCCCATTATATATGTTTCCTTACTGGAATTACTCCCTTCTTTTCAACAGAGAAAAGAATGTGTAATGATGTGGATAGTAGGGGGCTGCCTACACTGAAGTGAAACCTCCTTGTCCAACACTATGGAATGAGATAAAATGCATTTTTGCATTGTGGATGTCTTTCATGGCCAGAATCACTGGATTGTTGGGAGTTTGCCGGGCTGTATGGCCATGTTCCAGGAGCATTCTCTCCTGATGTTTCACCCACATCTATGACAGGCATCCTCAGAGGAATACTCCAAAAACAGAGGAATTCCTGACACAAAACTAGGACCAGCTAACAACTCCCAACAAAGGATTCCCCAGGGCAGGAAGCAGCCAGTCTTTGAAGCTGCAAGGCCATTCAGTGCTAATTAAGGTGGCCAATTGCAACAGTCACACTTGCCTCAAGCAGACAAGAGTTCTTTCTCCCACCCTGGTCATTCCACAGATATATAAATCCCACTTGCCTAGTTTCCAACAGACCTCACAACCTCTGAGGATGCCTGCCATAGATGTGGGTGAAACATCAGAAGAGAATGCTTTTGGAATATGGTCCTACAGCCCGGAAATCTCACAGCAACCCTTTAACTTTTACTTCATAATGTTTATAAGTGTCCTTTTATTTTGTAAAGAGCTGATACGAACCCGGTAAATCTTTCGCTGATGTGTCTCTTTTCTCTTTGTACAGTCTCAAGCCCGCCGAACTCCAAGTCTCTCAAGCCTAAATTCTCAAGATTCTAGTATTGAGATTTCAAAGCTTACTGATAAGGTACAGGCAGAATATAGAGATGCATACAGAGAGTATATTGCTCAGATGTCGCAGTTAGAAGGGGGTGCAAGTTCTAGCACTGTGAGTGGTAGATCTTCTCCACACAGTTCCGCAGCTTTCTATATGGGCCAGAGCACCTCAACAGGCTCCCTTCAGTCGAATGTGGAACAAGATAAAGGAAAGGATGCTGAACAGAAACAAGATGAGGGAAGGAAGGCCTTCTTGATTAAGCGGAATGATGTTGCAGACTACAGTACATCAGGCGTATCTACTAATGATGCATCTCCATTGGATCCAATTACTGAAGAAGATGAAAAATCGGATCAGTCTGGGTCTAAGCTTCTTCCAGGGAAGAAATCGTCAGAAAGAACCAGCATTTTCCAGGCTGCAGATTTAAAGCTGAAGGGAGTAGCTCTTCGCTATCAGAAGCTTCCAAGTGATGAAGATGAATCTGGAACAGAAGAATCGGATAACACTCCCCTCCTCAAGGAAGGTAAAGATAGAAAAATAGAAGGGAAAACAGAGAAGCAACCCAAATCTCCAGAACATGGATCAGAGCCCATTAGAACATTGATTAAAGCAAAAGAGTACTTGACAGATGCACTTTTAGACAAGAAGGATTCCTCTGATTCTGGGGTAAGATCCAGTGAAAGCTCTCCAAACCACTCCCTCCATAATGATGGTGATGACTCTCAGCTCGAAAAAGCAAATCTCATTGAGCTGGAAGATGATGCCCGCAATGGGAAAAGAGGAATACCCCATAGCTTGAGTGGCCTTCAAGATGCCAGCATAGCACGCATGTCAATTTGCTCAGAAGATAAGAAAAGCCCTTCAGACAGCAGCTTAATAGCCAGCAGCCCTGAAGAGAACTGGCCATCGTGCCAGAAAGTCTACAATCTGAACCGTACCCCCAGCACAGTCACCCTGAATAATAACAGTGCGCCAGCCAACAGGCCAAATCAAAATTTTGAAGAGGTTGAAAGCATCCGAGAGCCTTCTCAAATCATTCTTCGCCCTGGATCTAGTTCTAATTCTGTTGGCGGTCACAACGATAACATCAAAGGTGTGGCCCACAAACGCAGCCAGCGTTCAAGTTACGCCAGGCTTTCAAAAGATGCCTCTGAGCTCCTTACAGTTACTGGCTCTGATGCTGCAGGCTTTGGAGAAGAAAGAGAGAGTATTCTTTAAAAGAGATCCAAGTAAAAATACAGGCTTCCCGAGTGATAACGTGTTTTAGTTTGTGCACTTCCACTCTTCTTAAAAAAAAACTTCCTAATCGGGTTACAAATCGCTAATTGTCCTTTGCTATGACTATGCCCGTTCATTTTTTTGTCATTATCATGGAAGATTAAATCAATCTTAAGGTTGCTAGAGTCCCATTGATGTCCTGTGGGAAAGATGTGCATAAAATGAGCAAGGTATCAGAGAAAATCAATCAGTGCCCATTCTCAAATGCAGCCAGCATTTAACTCCAAATTCCTTGTTCTGCATTTTAAAAAAACCTTGTTTATTATGACAGAAATCACACAGAGACAAAACGACATTGCTTCTTCTATGTGGTCCCTGTGAAATGTGTATATATGGGAGTTCCTGCGCTGGCGCAGTCAGTTTTAGAACTCTCTAGAACGGTGGTTCCCAAACTTTGGTCTTCCGGGTATTTTGGACTTCAACTCCCAGACATCCTAGCCAGCTTAACAGCTGTTAGGAATCATGGGAGTTGAAGTCTAAAACACTTGGAGAACCAAAGGTTGGGAACCACTACTCTAGAAGCTCTCACGAGATACATTTAAGTGGAAGCCCCGCCCGCACGTCTAGTTTTTCCTATTTCTTTGGAAAAAGAAGGGAAGGAATGTATCATGTCAAGGGAAGTCAAAAGAATAAAATATCTGATATCCAGCCCAACGGTGCTCAGCTTAAATTTTCCACTTCTATATGTGACACTTTTAAAAGTATTGATGGTGTAACTGCTAGTAGAGAAGGGTTAAAATGTGGCTCTTGTTAGTTGCTTTGAGCTATCCTTGGGAATGCCATATTTGTGACAATGTGGACAAGTGTTGAAATTATTCTGTCGTATTCGATAGTTGTGGCTGAGATTTTAATGTAATTGATGGAAGTTTCTGTTCATCAGTAGTGGTAATTGCAGTAGCATTCAAGTAATTGCAAAAAGCAGCCCTAGTCATGGTGGTACATGGGGTCATTTTAAACTGTGTCTGTTTGTAGTCTTTTGAATTCATTTTGAATATTTACAGTCTTTCAAATGGCCTTTGATTAATCTGATTGTGGAAAGCAAATGGAATTGGAGGTTGTCATCACCTCAGTAAAAATGTACTGTTTGCCATTGTGTCACTGTGTAGCAGAACGGTACATAATTATGTCATTTCTATTTTTATGTGTCTGTAACGTCAGTAACTTGTACTGCAAATGAAATATGCATGGTTTTTAATATGATAACTGGATTGCATGTATTGCAGTAGTGAGGATAATAAAATTAAGAGGCACGCTGCGCTTGTTTCAGTTTTTTTATGTACTTACAATGTTTGTGTCTTCAGTTGATTGGAAACATTAAGGCAGTAAAATTCTACTAAAAGGTATGAGCTTCTATTAGAGGGCTTTTAAAAAAAATCTTGGCTGTCCTGAATCTCCATTTACCATATATGCTTGAGTATAAGCCGACCCGAACGCAAGCCGAGGCACCTAATTTTACCACAAAAACCTGGGAAAATGTATTGACTTGAGTATAAGCCGAGGGTGGGAAATGCATCAGCTACTGGTAAATTACAAAATAAAAATAGATACTAATACATTAATTGAGGCATCAGTAAGTTAAAGGTTTTTGAATATTTACATAAAACTGTAATTTAAGATAAGACTGTTCAACTGTGATTAAACCATTATTCTTATATTCTTCAATGTAAATTTGCTTACGTATCCTTCCAATAATAATAGAGTAAAATAATGAAAATGTAATAATAACAATAATATATAGAGTGAAATAATAAAGTAATAATAATAAATAGAATAAAATAATAGATGTAATAAGAATAAATAGAGTAAAATAATATGTAATAATAACACTAATAAATAGAGTAAAATACTAAATATAATACAAAAAAGAGAAAAATAATAAATGGAATACAAATAATAGAGTTAAATGATAAATGTAATAAAAATAATGATAGAGTAAAATAATATAATAATAATAGAGTAAAATGATAAATGCAATAATGATGATGATGATAATAATAATAATAATAATAATAACAGAATAAAATAATAACTGACTCAAGTATGAGCCCCGAGGGCTTTTTGCACCTTAAAAAAGGGCTGAAAAACTCAGCATATACTTGAATATATATGGTAGTTACCGTTGAATGAGAAGCTGCTAGGTGTTTTGCAAATATTTTCCATCTTTTGTAGAAGTGCTTATTCTTCATGGTCTCTGAATTCCTTGTCTAATTGTTCTGCTTATGCTGTTCTTTGTTCAGTGGGAAGCTGTGCTGTTTGGATGTCAGTGATAGATATCTGCATGTAATATGGATTTACTTTGAGGGCACAATCCAGCTATCTAGAGGAAGGTTTCCATGAGAAGACTAGGGAAAGATAGAGTTTTCAGTCACAGAGAACAAGGACCTCCCCCTCAAGCAGATTTGGGTACGGGGAAGGGCCACTGGTAAAAATCACCCACCTCCATATCGACTTCATTTTATGGATGCAAAGCAATTGAATTGTAGGGTTGTGTTTCTTAATAACACAGCCTTCACTACAAAGCTCAAAAAGATACCAGAATTAGGGCTTCAATATGGAAACAAAATAAAACAATTTCTGTGAAACTTGTGTCCACATATGAACAATATACAAACAAGGAGCTGAGCAGAATTCAAGTCTTTTCACTCTGGTCACTGCATTTTGTATATTCTAACCTTGTAATGTGTGCCTTTATCAGCACCTTTGGTCTTCCAGGTGTTTTGGACTTCAGTTCCCACAATTCTTAATAGCTGGTAAGATGTCTGGGATTTCTGGGAGTTGAAGTCCAAAACACCTGGAGGACCATGGGTTGGGAACCTCTACAATAGATCTTTAATATATAATAGTAAAAAAGTCTATCTTTCAGAACCATAGGCTGAAGGCCATGAAACTTAGATACCTGGAATCCTGTGCAATAGTACTTTTACTAATGGTGTACACAAATTTCATGGCTAAAATGTACCAGTTAATTTTGATAGAAATAATATGTTCATGCTTTTGAAGCTTGTAGTAAGACCTTTATCACACCATAGGTTTTAGTCTATACAGTTGCAGAACCGGGGTGGTTGAATACTCCAGTGAACACAATTATGGCACTGCCCCTTTTTCTCTGGTCTGGGTAATCCCCTGCATTGGCATGGACTGGGCAAATTTGTCACTGCTTGTACCAACACAGCAAAGATCTCCATAATTCTCAGACAAAATGTGCCCAATTGTATATATTTCGCTTGAAGTTTTCAATGTTTCTAATAGGGCTTTCCCAGCAAATTTAAAAGGCAGGTAGTTTTGCTACTACTGTAGGTAATGAGACAGACAATACTAATTTTAAAATAGACTGTGATGAATTGAATACATTTTTATTGAAAAGCTTTTATTGACATTTCCAGGCTGGACAAAAACCAAAATAGAGAAGGGACCGGTATCCCCATAATGAGAATGGGGAAAACTGAAGAAGATTGTACTGGAAGAATGAGATTCAAAAGGAGAGGAGAAAGAAAGCCAGGTCTGAGTTAGAGTGTAGTAGAAATTTTAAAATGTTCATGTTTTTACCTGTGTTTGTTAATGCAAGATATAAAACAACCCTCTGTGAAACATGTGGGGATCACCGGGCCTTCCAGAGGTTGAACTAAAATCCCCAGCATGCCTACCTAGGCCAACAGTGATGCAGCGAGTTGCTGGTGGCACTCATTGTTTCACATTCCTGAAGTAGAAGATTGTTCCCCCCCCCCTTAAAAAACTTGCCTCTAATACTTTTTTTTTCAAAATAAGAATAAATATTTCGAGTTGCTTGCAATATTGTATGGCTGGTGGCAAATAATTGGTTCTGTGTATAGTGTGTTTTAGAGTAACTTTTAAAAATCCACCTGAGCTTGCAAAGACCTTCTACATTATTTCTTTGAATTCTAGCACCGAGATTTGTGCTCATATTTTGAATAGTATGTCCAACAGAATGCAACATGGAACATTTAGGTAGGGATGGTCTTTTAGAAAAATCTTTTAATGTTAAGGAACATATAAATACATTGGTTTTACACATAATAATATTAATAATAATAATAATAATAATAATAATAATAATAATTTATTTCTCTACCACCCTATCTCCTAAAAGGGACTCAGAAAGAGTGAATCCTATACTAGACAGAACATGCATGCATACACATCCATCATAACACTTCTGAGGCAGTGTGTGGATACTCTAGTCTAAACTGAAGGCTTTGGCACACACAAAATAATTGTTCACGTTAGAATGAAAGCTTCCTTTTGAATTCCAGCTGGATTCTCTGTGTTTAGATTTTAAAAAATGCATTTCATGCAGGCATAACTTTTTTTTGTCCAACAGTTATCAAATATGATCAGAATCTCAAACACGAAAATTTTATTTTATGTATATTCTGCCTTTTCCCCTTTATAGGAATTAAGATGACTTAGAACCATTTAAAAACAGTCCACCTTAAAAATTATTAAGATGCAAAAGTTAAAACACAGTTACCAATTTTTTTTATTTAAAATATGTTTTAGAACATAGCTAATCACAATAGTTTCCCCTGGACCAGTGACAGCGCTGGTAAGTTTTGGAAAGACAGAAAGGATTATATCCAATGGACACAAGTATGGTGCCAGACCTTGGCACATTTGGGGAAATATCATTGTTATTCTCCGCTCATCAGATATCCTCATAAGCACAGGTCTGTTCTATATTGGAAAGTTGTGTTGGCAAAACTAATTTCACGTACAGCCACCTATCCTTATTTGCTGGGTTGGGAGCACTAGCCCCCGTGAAAAGTGAAAAACCATGGATTTATAAATTGCTATTTTTTTTACCTCAGAGAAAATCTCTTTAGGAATTTTTAGGTCTTCCCAGTATAACCCTGTAGTCAACTTCTACTGGAAATTGACCATAGAATCACATTGGAGGTGATTACTAGAGAGAACTAAAGGGAGTTGATCATAGAGTTATATTGGAGGGCCTAAAGGATACTAGACAGAGCTTTTTAATAATCAAATCTGCAGAAGTCAAAACTGCAAATGTTCAGGGACTTTTGTATTCTTTATGTAGTGCATTCTTCATAGGGCTATGCTTTGATACAACTGGAAATGTTTAACATTCAGAATACTATCCACCCTCAAAGACACCAAGGACCTACAGTATTTAAGAATTTGTGTTGGTTTCCTATCATTGTGCAGAATTCATTGAAGTTAAAGTCCTGATTATAATCTACAGTGCCATGCAGCCTGGGGCCTGGTAACCAAGGACACTGCTCCCAGTGATCCACTGCTCCTCGTCCCTTTGCACCCTCTACATTTTTTAGAGAGACTAGCCTCTGTGCTTCAGGTTGGGGCTGCCTGTTATTGAGCCCCCCGCCCCATGCACATTTCATGTATCTAGGACATCTCTAGACATACTTGGTTAGCCTCAATATTCAGGTTGAATATTTCTTTATTCACTCTGCTACACACAGTTCTATAAGAATTGAGGTTTCTTGGTTGGAGCTGGTGCCTGTTCCTTTAAAATTAAGAGAATCTAGCACAACTTCATGATGCCTTGGAGCTTTTAAAAAGAAAAGGTGCTCTCTCCTGATGAAGATGTAGTAGCGTTCTTCTGAAGAATCATGATGTTGTTTTCTACCCAGCATTTCAGATTGTTAAAATCTTTAGCCAAGTAGTAGAACAAAGCTTCGGACCTCTCAACAAGGATTCCACATTAATCAGTTTTGTTTTCAGGTAAGGGCAGCAAATGTATTACATGTGGTGGGTTGATTGATGCAATCTCTTCAGTTCATTTAATGAGCGTCTATTGAAGTTTTAAAATATATTTAAGGTAATATGGTACCTAGATGAATCCACTAGAAACCTTTGTTGGAATAAATTTATTCACACAATCATTGTAGGTGGGAATATTAGACCCCCCAAAAAAAAACATATGGAGGAAATGCTATTATTATTATTATTATGTTTATGTTTATGCTTTGCTTTTTCTCTTCACAAGGAGACTTAAAGCAGCCTACATTGAAAGCATTTTGATACAATTTAAAATCTACAGATATACAAACATTTAAACAGAATTAAATATCATTGATATTAAAAAATCATGTGTGGGTGTGTGTACATGGAAACTCTTCCAATAAAGTAAATTAAAACTATAGACTAAAAGCCTAAAAATGTGTAGCATAAAGTAGAAAACGAAAGTAAAGCCAAGAAACTACTGCTGTGTTTCAAAAGAAGAGTTGAAGCCAATAAAAGCAAAATTCATCTTAT